CCTAATCAACTTCACATGCTCTGCCATGGTTTCAGTAGAGATCAGTATATCATCTAGGTAAACCAGCACCCCCTTGTATAAGTGCTCATGCAACACCTCATTTATTAGATGCATGAAGAAAGTGGGGGCCCTTTATAGTCCAAAAGGGAGAACTTTAAATTGAAAACATCCCAAAGGGCATTTAAATACTGTTTTCCACTCATTACCCTCTTTAATCCTGACTTGATAATATGCTTCTCACAAGTCCAGTTTGGTAAAAAAAAATCTTTCATTTCACCAGATGGGCTAGCACAGTGCTTCTTAACCTTTTTAATGCCGCGACCCCCAACCAGTTGTAAGTCGAGGACTACTCAACTGGTGCAGCACCGTTTGCAGAATGGGACTTTTGGCGGACTCAGCAGGGCAGAGACAGCCTGGACAATTCCTATTGGCTTTTGAAAGCCAATAGAATTAGACTCTATTCAAGAGAGTCTATTCTATTGGCTTTCAAAAGCCAATAGAATAAAAGGGAGTAGCACAGCTAAGGAAAAGGGGGGAAAATGACGGACTGCGTTGTTTGGCCACCCCCATGAAATGGTCATTCGACCCCAAATGGGGTCCCGACCCACAGGTTGAGAACCACTGGGCTAGCATATCCTTTGTCAGGGGCAACAGGTAGATGTTTTCAACACACACCCTATTTAGCCCTCTATAGTCTACACATAGACGAAGAAACCCATCCTATTTTTCCCAGAACAGGACCAGGACAGCCACCCTGGGTCAGGCCGATTGGATGAACCCCAATTTAAAATTTTATCTATAAAAGCCCGCAACTCCTCCAGTTTCCTACAAGTCATTGAATATAGCTTGAGCTTAGGCAGTTTAGCACCCAGCAGGATTTCCAAGAAGCAGTCAGTTGGCCGTTGGGATGGGAGCTCGTCTGAGCTCTTTTCACTAAAAACATCCCGCAAATTCCATTCCTGCATTGCAGTGCCCACCTCCTGCCTTGGCTTTGGGGCCCCTAAGTCCTTTCCCAGTTTTCATTTAGCTTCACCTCCCCCCAGGTTTTAAGCAGTTCCCTCCTCCAGTTCACATACAGTTTTCATTTCCGTAACTATGCTAATCCTAGCACCAGGGGTCTTTCTACACCCGGGGCTATAATAAAACTCAAGAGTCTCTGTGTGCTCCCCCATCCGTATTTCTATCAGCTCAGTGACAAATGTCACTGGGATCCCCCCTGCTACAGAGCCATGTAGCTAGCAAAATGTCACTGGCACCTTGAGTCGTCTAAGTCTCATTCCTAGCTTTTCAACCAGGGCAGGTGTCAGGTCCACCTTCGTATCCTGCCATTCGGTTGAAGGGGAGGGGAAATGTTGGCATATTCAGGATACTTTCACTTTGCTGTAATTCTTGGCAATAAGGGAGGGAAATTGTCTCTCTCCCAGCCATCATACCCTGAGAGTGACATGTTATCTGCCTAGCACCTCAGCATTCTCAAAACATCTTCATGGCATCATATTGGCTGCCGGTGGACTGGATGGGGGTTGAGACTTGGGGAAAATGAAATAATAGGTTTGCATTTTACGTGAGATTTTCACATTCCGCCTGACTTTCCTGCAACTACTTGAACATTGGGCGCTATCTAACAAAATGAAATTCAATGGTGAAAAAAGTAAGGTTCTACATTTAGACAAGAAAAACCAAATGCACAGGTACAGTATAGGTGCTACCTTGCTCAGTAGTAATAACTGTGAGAGAGATTTCGGAGTCCTAGTGGATAATCACTTAAATATGAGCCAGCAGTGTGCTACAGCTGCCAAAAAAAAAAAAAACGTAATTCTAGGCTGCATTAACAGAGGGCTAGCATCAAGATCACATTAAATGTTAATACCACTTTATAACACCTTGGTAAGGCCACACTTGGAATACCAGTTTCGGTCACCACAATGTAAAAAAGTTGTTGAGATTCTAGAAAGAATACAGAGAAGAGCAATAAAGATGATTAGGGACTGGAGGCTAAAACATATAAAGAATGGTTGCTGGAATTGGATATGTATAGTTTAATGAAGAGAAGGACGAGGGGTGAAATGATAGCAGTGTTCCAATATCTCAGGAGTTGCCACAAAGAAGAGGGATTCAAGCTATTCTCCAAAGCACCTAAAGACAGGACAAGAAGCAATGGATGCAAACTAATCAAAGAGAGAAACAACCTAGAAGTAAGGAGAAATTTCCTGACAGAACAATTAATCAGTGGAACAGCTTGCCTCTAGAAGTTGTGAATGCTCCAATACTGGAAGTTTTTAAGAAGAGCCTGGACAAGAGTCTGAAATGGTATAAGGCAGGGCTTTTCAACCTTTTCACTGATTGTACCACTTTTAGGATATGGCAATATTTGAGTACCACCTAGCAAGGTGTCAAAAACTCGATGACCAAATCCCCCCGTTCAAAGTTGCAATTGCACTGAAATGAATTATGACCATTTTTCACACTTATGACCACTGCAGCATGCCCAGGATCATGTGATTTATATTTGGATGCTTGGCAATTGATTCATATCTCTTGGAGGGTGACCCCTCCCCCACTGCATTTCTTGCCTGTTTGCTGCTGCCAGCACAGGTGGCTCTGCCACAGCAGTTGTAGATCGGCTCATGGCCGGCCTGCTTGATCTCCTCTTCTCTTCCCCACCCTCCTCCTCCTCCTTCTTCTTTCCCTTCGGTGTAGCTAGAGCTGACTCTGCCTCCTCCCAAGGCTACTGCTTTTTTCTGTCTCTCCCTCTCTCACCCAAACTGCCTCCTTTTATAGGCTCTCCTGTCTCTGCCCCCTCCTCCTCCTTTCTCATGGGGGAGGGTGAGCCAGAAATGAGCCTGGGGCCTTTGTCACCCCAGCCACTCTGCAGGTCCGGAGGACTCTCTCACAGTAAGTCCTTTCCTGCGCTGGCTCTTTCCCTCCCCCACTACACTTGGGCTGTGTACCACCTGCCACTTGTTATTATACCACAAGTGGTACGCGTACCACCGGTTGAAAGCCCTGGTATAGGGTTTCCTGCCTGAGTAGGTTAGACTATAAGACCTTCAAGTCCCCTTGCAACTCTTACTACTACTGCTGCTGCTGCTGCTGCTGCTGCTGCTGTTGTTATTATTATTATTTCTCTCAGTAAAAGTTCTTTTGATTCAACCACATGGATTCAAGAGTTTTACTTTCCTGAGGGACCAGCTGGGGCAGGTCCTTACAGCAGGGTTTAGACATCTGGTACATCCTGAGTCCAGAAAGGCCAGTTAGATTGGCTTTTTGTCCCAAGGATTGGACAACCAGTTCAATGAGGACTGTCACCAGGGTGACTGGGCCACTTAACAAGGAGTTGTCATCAGAGTCAGTATCACTCTCTCCAGGGCCATCCGCTGGGCCAGTAGGACTTATTTCACCATCCTGGGGAGATGGAGTGAACTCTACAACCTCCACTCCTTCCAGGGCCATCTCACAGGTTCACAGTGACAGTTTACCAGGCTTCTTGATGGGAGCTGGGGTCACCTTTTGGGCAAAATGGTTGGATTTGCATTCAGCAGCCTGGTACCCCTCCTTCCCACATTTGAAGCAGGCAGTGCAGCATCACTGGAGGCTATGGATGCTCAGCTGGTTTTTGGGGCTTTCTTCTTCTACAGAAATGATATTCATCACCTGTGCCCCGGGCGATACTTTTTTCAGGATGGAACACTGAGTCAACCTTGATCCATGAGAATTGAACTGCCAAACTGCTGGCAACCAGCAGTCAACAGAAGTAGCCTGCAATACTGCATTCTAATCAGTACGCCTCCCCGCATGAATTTTATGGTTTCCTGCATCATCCAGGAAGCTTGGCCATGCTCTCTGCTCATCTCTTCTTCCTCCAGTTCTTTCAGCTTCACTTGTTGTTCCTGACGGCAGCTCCCACAGCTTCCACAAATAAAAGGGTATCTTTTTCCAATCTTCCTTTCTGCTGACATCCAAAAACCACCTAGGTCCTGGCGGGTCACTGCAGTTTTCTGCCTCTCCCATCCACTCAGAGAGATCCAGTCCTGGAGGAGGCCTGAGCAAAGCCTCCCCCCAGCATTTTTTTCTCTTCCTGATCACTCCCTTGAACCAACATTGTGTGCATGGTTCCCATGATAGAGTGATATCCGCTCCAGGTTGACCACAATTGCAGATTCCACCTAATGTCAGACCTACCCTAGTTTGATCCCCTAGGGAAGAAAAATTCTTGACTCGATTTGGTTGAAGTAAAAGGTACTTTTACTAAGAGATGCTGATTGCAGTAAAGTCAGGCAGAATCTGAGCTTCTCACGCATCAACATAAAACTATTTTCTTCTGGCCTGTCCTTCCCTCCATGACAAGTCCAAATATAGCCAATGCAATGCTGTTGGGATGTTTTGGGAACACTGAGGTGTTTGAGCTGGTAACTTTTTACACTCAGGGCAAACATCCTTGAAGATGCCTTGGAACGAACCAGTTCCATATTGAACTGCTTTTCTTCAACTGTCATTCCCACCTCCCAAATTCCTATACAAATGCATACAGTTTTATTGCCCATTTGTTCCCCCCATCCCTCTCCTCTAGTTCTTTGACGGCAGAATGTCAATGCAGTGCCAAGCTGAAGATGGTGGACCTGACACTGCTTAGCCACATGTAAAAACATTATCTTAATGCATACAATTATGAGTAGGATTAATATATCAGTTAAACTGACCAGAGTCACTTTAGTGAGATAGGCAATGTGTACGTTTTATAAATGAATAAATAAAATAATATTAATCAAAACATAAAATATTTCTCAGGAACATGGGATTCTCTTTATCTTTCAGAAATTCCAGTACATAAATTATTATAACAACTCTCAGGACAAAGCCACATACGTAAACCACTTTCGAAAACGTGCAAGAGATCAATAAAATTATTAAAGAGCACATGTTACTCAAAAAAGACACTTTAGGAACAATGCTTACAAAACACAAGAAACAATGAAAGGGAAAAAATGATTGATTCTCACCATTAGATCAAGCTTGTGATTAATTGCTATAGCTGAATGCTCTAATGCCTTGAAAATAGAGGTGTAGCAATCACTCAGTTTTGTATACTTCCCAACTAGAGCAACAGAACAGCTGTTTAGCATCCTCTCATACCTGGCAATATAAAATATCAAATAATATTTAGATTTCCAAATATTTCAACAGGTATTAAAGTATTATACATTTGGATTGGATATAGTTAGTGTGTGTGTTTGTGTGAGTGTGTGCATGTGTTTAAAACAGGGGAAGCCATGTTCTTAAGTTATAATTAAGGTTCACTCTCCAAGTTAAAAAGACAAAATAACAGAAGCTTGAAATATTTTTAAAGCACAAAAACCTTCCATTTTATTCTATTTATCGCTGCACCATTTGAATTTCCTCTTCCTCCGAATTTACTCAAACCATCTTAAGGAATGAAAGCCCTGCACAACTATAAATGGCTCGATGGCTAATTTATTATTAAATAAGATTATGCTCAACTGAAATAATTTACATCTCTCCAGATAAGAAGCTGATTGAATTATTTATTATGAGTCAAGAGAAAAGAAAAGAGGGCAATTGAGAATAACATACCAAAGAGAAATTACATTAAGAGAAACTCCACACAAGATAGATTTACACACTAGTTAGATGTTTTGAAGAAATGAATTAATTTATTTTTGCTATAAAAATGTAGGTTTTTGGATTATTTTCTGATGCAGGGGCTCTATCTCTTAATTGGTAGAATTTGTACCTCAAACTCTTATGAGCTTTTGATGATAGTAGGAAGCTATTCATTATTAATTATTATTTCAATTTATATAGCCACCCATTTCAAATACATGACTCTGAGCAGCTTATAACAGTTAAAAAGAAAAATGAATACAACCTAGAAGCATTTTTCTTTCCATTTTTTTCTTTTTCTATATTTTATTCTTTGGGGAATGTAATAAGGCATACCGTATATTCCGGTGTATAAGGCGACCCGGGGTATAAGACGACCCCCATCTTCGGTGCCGAGTCACATGCCTAGAAAGTCATCTTATACATCGGAAACTACCATTATTTCCGGCGTATAAGACGACTCGGCGTATAAGACGACCCCCGACTTCGGTGCCAATTTTAAAGCTTGCGAAAGTCATCTTATACGCCAGAAAGTACGGTAATTTAAAAAGAAAAAAACATTAAAAACTATATAAAACCAAACAACATAATTGGCAGCCAAAATATATAAACTATCAGCAATGTACACCTGAATCCTCAAGCCTGGTTGCAAAGGTATCTCTTTGAGGCGTTATGAAAAGTCAGTAGGGGTGGGGCCAGTCTGATCTTCTGGAAGGGAAGAATGATATCCCACAAGAGAAAAGGCTCCCTTCCTAGATCCCACCAGGTGGCAATCCCTAGCACAGTGTTTCTGGGGAATGCCTGGCTGGGAAATTCTGGGGGTTGAAGTCCACACATCTTAAAGCTGCCAAGATTGAGAAACACCATCTAGTACAGTGATGGCGAACCTTTTAGAAACCCAGTGCCCAAACTGCAATCCAAAACCCACTTATTTATCACCAGGTGCCAGGTGGCCGTGGCCGCGGTGGTCATGGCAGACTGGGTGGGTGGGGCCAGGGTGACGGGGGCCAATCCCTCGCCATCACCGGGGTATGGCACGTATGCCCACAGATAGGGCTCTGAGTGCCGCCTCTGGCACGCGTGCCATAGGTTCGCCACCACTGATCTAGTAGATGGGATCCAGAGCATGGCTCTCCTGCCAGACATAATGGGATGGGCAGATGTTACCTGGGAGAGGTAATCCCTCAACTAAAATGACAGTGTGTGAGATCTTTGCAGGTCCCTCTCAATAGCTCAAAGAAAATGAACAAGCAAAATTAATATTTTAATTATTTCCCTCCATTTTCTTCAGCACAGGTAGAGCCATGCAAAATGTCAAGCATAGGGGAATTTTCTTTCCTTTTATGGGGGATGAAATGACTTTTGTAAGTGTTTAAGTTCGAGCACAGATTTTTGCTCCTTGCTTTAACAAAATGCTCTTGTTTCAACATTTCTGACTGAAAAGAAGAGGTGAGAGCTTTGGAAATGAAACTGATGACAAAATTGAAATACCTTGAGTTACAACTGCATAGTTTCAATCTCCATTTATTTTTGCACTGAGCTCGCCTTGTTCTTACAATGAAACTCATTAGTGCATAATGCAACATTGTGGGAAAGGGTTATTTTTCAGCTACCTTATCACAGATTCTAATGTTCACCACAGGTGAGAGAAAAATCACTGGACCGACTTCCGGTCCTGCATCGTAGCAACACAGCTGAGGGATTGCGGGGCTCCGCACCCCACAGCTGTTTCACCCTGCCAGGGGACCCTAAATGGGTCTAAAGTCACCCCAGAGAGGCATCCAAGAAAGAGAGCTCTCCGGTGATCGCAGAACAAAGCCAGTCGATTCGTTTGATCCATGGGAAGCCCTCTAATCTGACAGGAGAAAGGCTAGCTACACCTCAGTGACTAGCCCAAGTTACCGGCAGCCAAAGTCCAAAACCACTAATCAGAACAACTGTGGACAGCACACTTGGAACTGGGTGAGAATATTGATCTTCTCTCTTCTATTTTGTAACTGACTTCCTGGAAAAGATCCCCAAGAAGCAAAAAATCCTCCGAAAGTGAGAAGGGAGGGGACCGCACCCTCACCCTTACATAGACGGAAGAGGCAATTTAATTTTTATGGGGGGCAGAAATATATTGAAATTAAGTCAATAATACTACAGTCTGGATAAATCTGAAAATGATGAAAACTGTTAAGATTTCACATCTGAAAGAGTATTGATGAAAATACAAGAAAATAATTCTTTGTTTTAAAAGTTGGAAAATGAAAAGCTATTGACATCTAGTGGAGAATTAGAACATAGAACAGCAGCTGCATTGACTCAGAAATTGGCAAGATGCCCAGAAACAAAGAACAACTTGTTCATTTGAACCTCAGTGACTTCTAGATAAATAGAGAACAACTGGGAATAGAGGAAAGAAAATATACTGGGCCACCTACTAAAGAGTGAGAACTATATTTGTTTTAAAAACTGCTGACCTTCTGGGATTATAAACACTTACTGAGCTGTGATCTCTAAGCTCAAGAATTGTTTGCAGAAAAAGAAAAATCCTTGACTTTTGGCTAATCTTCTAGAGGGGAATTTATTGGCAAGCTCTTAGAAGGTTAAATATTCTGGACTGCAACTTTGGCTGTCTGATAATTGTAAGACTCCTGAATAGAAGAACTGTTATAAAATACTGCTTTTAGTGGTGCCTTCACAATTGGAAATGTATTGGATTATAAAAACCATATATAAAGATAAGAACTATATAAGATTTGGTTGTTTGGACTTTAAGATTGGCTGGTTTGACAAGGCTAGCTACAGAGACTATGGTACCAGTGAAAGACTATCTGGAAGGGGGAGATAAAATGGATGTTGCATACCTATCTAAAAGCAGCAGGAAACCAAACCTGGTATCTCCTTCTGAAGTCCCCAGCCTGGAACAACAGAGATCTGCAGGAGCAACACTCCAAGACAAGGCAAATATTTTCCAGGAGAAAATGTATGCAATGGTGCAATATATTCAAATGATAATAGTTTCAAATCATGATGAGATTAAAAATAACTTTGACAACATAAATGAGCACATTTTTCATCTAAATTTACAATTAAAAAACTCTCAGAAAATGACGACAAAGAATGAACAAACGAACCAGATAACAGAACATAAACCAGAGGACGGTGACCCAAAGAGGGAAGTTACAAATGAAGAGAACTACAGCTTAATACAGATAAAAGAAAACCTGCACGATTTTGCCACAACAATAGAAATGGAAAAGATATTTTATTTTTCAGGGCTTCAAAATAAACCTGAAGATAGGAAAGAAGATCTAACAAAATGAATTATAGAGCAGCCAAGAGAATCATTAGAGTTTGGGAGAAAAAAACGCACATCCTACCTAACTTGTCTTTCCTATTCCCAACAACATTCACAAAAATACCGGAAGAACCCCTGGTAAGCTGAACACACTGGCTTTGAAAACTACTTTGCAAAAGAAGAAGGCTAGAGTTAGATTCAAGAGATTTGATTCGACTTACCAGCTGGAGTACTATATGATTAAATACTTTTGAATATGGTTAAAAGAATAGATAAATTATGGATATAAAGGGGCCCTACGGTAAAAGGGATAAGATATACAAGTAGTATAATACTTTTTATAATATATGAAATATAAAAATATTGGGATGGGTATGTGAATGAAAAGTTTGGATATTTAAAGGTAATTAACTGTGGAAAATTATGACTGATAAGAATGATTTGAATACAGAGGGGAAATTAAGCTTAAATAAGAATCTTAAAAACAGGACATAATGTGACTTAATAAGATGACTTTTATAAATACAATTGAAACATAAGCTGATCAGAAAAAATGTTATATGCTGATGTTACTGTTATTTGTTCAAACACAAGAAAAATGTTTTTATCCAACCTTGTATGTATCGAAAGTATTAAGAACTACATTTGTTTAATGTTGACAAAAAGAAAATACTACTGCAAGAAGAGATCAAGGAAATATATCATTAATTAATATATTGATTATGGAATTATAGAAATTAATTATTATTGTTTTTTAAATATATGAACCCAGGCTGTTTACTAAGCACTAAAGATTGTTATTGTAAAAAATCAATTATATATATATATATATTCATATTCAGAATTTTTCTATGGAAACCTCTTGGGTAAAAAGGTTGCATTTTAGCGCCATCAGAATTGTAACATAATATGTAATATCAAAAGATACTGCAAATACTTTCTTATTATGCCATCTTACCAGCTTATATATTATTTACAAAAACACTGAAACAAACAAACAACTCTGAAAAACCTGGGGCCTGATAAATGTTTCTTGCAAAAAGATTTTCTGGTGCAAATATGATACAAGGGAAATAGAAATATCAAGATAAGAAACAAAGAAATGTACCTATCTGCAATTTTTTTCCATTTGAAAAGAAGGTGACTTGGTTGATCGTCAATTGGTAGGCTTAGCCTCTCTTTAAAGTATTTAATTATGCCTTGTTCTTCCAAAAGGATTGGCACTCGGTAAGTGGAAGAAACGTCATGGATGAATATTACCTAGAAAATATGAATTGCAATTATTAATAGTGTAAATTTAAAACTAAATAGACAAAGTATGTGTGTATGTGTATATGAATAAATATCTCCTTTAGCTTGACTCAGTGCTTTTCAAAAAGGATGAACTATGTTATGGTGTAGTGATTGGTTATTTTAGGGACCTTCTATCTCCCATAGTATTTGCCTGATCAGTTTGATCTGTTTGGTGTGTTCCGGGATCCTTCAATTAAACAATGACATCTATATGGACCACAGAAGCATGACTTCTCTGTAATAACATTTGCCCTCTGGAATGAGGGCCACTCCTCCAGGTTCAGATACCCACCCCCGCTTATATTTTATGGGCTCTGAAGACCTAGCTCTTTGCAAAGGCCTTTGGAAAGGATGAGTGAATCTCCATTGTGTTATGTGAATTCATTTCTTTTTGCTTCCTGATTGTGGTAGAATAGAACAGAACAGAATAGAATAAAAACTTTACTGTGACTTTAAATGTACACTAATCAGCATATATTAAAATAAAATTTCATTGCATTCAGCTCTCAAAAAATACCTTTATGCATATACCCACATACACACACATATATAACACAGAGAAATATCAGTCTAGTTCGAATGTATACATATAAATGGCAAAATGTAGTCTGGAGTCCCAGGAGAGAAGAGCTGCCTCCTACAGGGCAAAGAAACAGAACTTGGAATGTCTGGTAGGCAGGAAGAGGGCAAAGACAGCCCTCCCTAGCAGTTCACAGAATATATCTATAATTATGCAGGAAATTGCTTTAGTCTGGCAAGATTCTGTCTGTAAGTGAAGAACAATAAAGTAACTACTCAGAAGTAACTCCACATATTATTCTTGGAACTGATGCTGATTGTTTTTTGTCATTTTTGCCGTCTATTTTATTGTAGAAAAACTAAATATGATATAATAGGAATAACAGAATCGTCTCGTCTAGCAAAGGACACAATTTGCTCAAAATAATGAAAGCAATTAAAAATAGAGGAGTCATACAGTCTGTCATATAGTCCTTCCAGAAAATTCTTGACTTTTTTGCTGATGATTTTTGTGTTTTAGAGGGTGTAGAAAGGTGCCAAAGATCAACTATTTTTGATTTGATACTAGTCAGTAAAGAATACTTATTTGAAAAAGTAGAAGCTCTAGTCTCTTCTTAAAAATCTCCAGTAATGGAGCGCCCACGATTTCTGAAGGCAAGATGTTCCACTAGTTAATTGTCCTCACTGTTAGGAACTTTCTCCTTAATTCCAGGTTGCTTCTCTCTTTGGTCAGTTTCCAACCATTGTTTCTTGTCCTGCCCTCTGGTGCTTTGGAGACTAGTTTGATGCCCTCTTCTTTGTGGCAGTCCCCTCAAATACTGAAACACCGCTATCATGTCACCCCTCTTTCTTCTTTTCTTTAGACTAGCCAAACCCAAGTCCTGCAGCCGTTCTTCATATGTTTTAGTCTCCAGGTCTTTGATAAGTTTAGTTGCTCTTTTCTAAACTTTTTCCAAAGTCTCAACATCTTTTTTGTAATATAGTGACCAAAATTGGTTGCAATATTCCAGGTGTGGTCTTACTAGGGTTTTTTAAAGCGATACTAATACTTTGCATGATCTTGACTCTATGCCTCTGTTTATACAATCCAGGAATGTATTAGCTCTTTTGGCGGCTTCTGCACACTGCTGGCTCATAGTCAAGTGATCGTCCACTAGGACTCCAAGGTCCCTCTTGCAGTTACTGCTTTTGAGCCAGGTCTCACCTAATCTGTACTTATACCTTTGATTTTTCCTGCCTAAAGGTAAAACTTTTGTTGGATAGGGCCCATTGTTCAAGTCTGTCATGATCTTTTTGGATCCTGTGTTTGTCTTCTGGGGTATTGGCTATTCCTGCCAGTTTAATGTCATCTGCAAATTTGATGAGTTCCCCTTCTATTCCCTTGTCTAAGTTATTAATGAAGATATTGAAGAGTACTGGGCCTAAGATGGAGCTTTGTGGTACCCCACTGCTTACTTCTCTCCATGTGGATGTAGTACCACTGAGGACTACTCGCTGAGCATGGTTTGTTAGCCAGCTACAGATCCATCTGATGGTGTTGTTGTCTATCCCACCTTTTTCTAGCTTACTAAGCAGCAGTTTGTGGTCTACTTTGTCAAATACCTTACTGAAATCTAAGTATACTGGGTCCACAGCATTTTGCTGGTCTATTAATTTAGTCACTTTATCAAAGAATGAAATAAGATTCGTTTGGCATGATCTGTTTTTAACAAACCCATGCTGGCTGCTAGTTATAACTTTGTTTGCTTCTAGTTATTCGCAGATCTGTTTTTTGATTATCTTTTCCAGGATCTTCCCAGGTATTGATGTTAGACTGATTTCCTGGGTCTGTTTTTTCCTCCTTTCTTGAAGATAGGAACCATATCAGCCCTTTTCCAATCTTCAGGTATTTCCCCAGTGCTCCAGGATTTTTGAAAGATATGGTGCAATGGTTCTGAGATAACATCTGCCAGCTCCTTCAGAACTCTGGGATATGTTTATAAGACTTTGAATCCCTAGAGCCAAATAATTGCACTTTAGATTATTAAAAATGGCCTTGCAATGGACAAAGAAGAAATGAGCAGAAATCAAATTGTATGACAATATTGGAACAACTAAAAATTAACACTGTTAGGAATAAAAACAGAAATATAAAGTTGGTTTATTTGATCAAGAATAAAATAAGATATGTTGTTACTTCTCTTTGGATTTTCTGCTCATACCAGGACTTAAAAGATGATATTTTATGGATGTATTTATAGATAAGAGAGGGGATATGGTTAGAGAAAAATGTATTTATAACTTTAAGGAGAGTGAAGAATTACTAAATTTGTTGTACTAGTTGGGGAAGATTGGAAGTCATTTCTGTTATATATTTCTTTTTTCTTTCCTTATTATATTCTTATGTTTATATAGTCTATGGAAAAACTAGAAGAAACTGGAGATACTGAGAAAAAAAGATTAGGGGAAATAGGTTTGTACTATTCCATAGCAAAGAACAATAATGGATGAGTACGAAGAGAATGCTTTAATTTCTATTCCAGTGCTAAACAGATTGGATTAAATAGTCAAAAAAGCCCCTTCCAACTCTACAATTCTACTGTGGAATGAATTATGAATTCATTAGGAATTATGGTTATGGTGGCTTAGAACTATCCACAAAAGGAAACACTAGGAGTCAAGTTCAACTCCAGGGTGACTTTAGATTTAAACTTTCCTACTTGAGTGTCTTTTTTTAAAAAAAAAAAAAAAACCACTATTACATTTGTAGCCATTTGTACAATTGTATAGCATATGCTCTTCTAATATATTGCTGTAAGTTTCAAGATTCTATCCTGGTAAACAAATTACCAACCTAACTGTTTAACTGTATTAAGGAAACATAATTTTCTGTCAAATCAGCCTCCAAACAAACTTCTGAAAGGAAATCATTTTATTCCCCTTCAGCACCAGACAAATATGAAAAGTTTTTTTTTTAAGTCTGACTTTTCAGTGCAACACTGATGCCTGCTGGATTTTTTTTAAATAGCATGCCATCCTCATTTTGATATTATCCCCATGAATGCCCTAATAAGTAGCTGTTGTTTTCTTCTATTATCCAACTATTTTCTTATATTTCTCTGCAGAAAAGAAAAATATTTAAAAACAAAAAAATAAAAATGATTTCAGAGTGTGACATTAACACTATAATGTGATTATTACTATTTTTAAAAGAATGCTACAAACCTGCTCAGGTTCTACATGACAAAACATTGAAATTTTTTCTTTTACAGCCATTTCTATAGGTTTAGTGCTTCTACAGACTATCTGTAAGGAGATATAAACAGATTAGCAACACACTATGGAAATAACACTTTCCAAGAAGCAGTACTTTCCTTCTTTTTTTGCTGAATTAAAATGCTTTGAAAGATTTTTTAAGGGAAAAGAAGAAAAAGCAAAGTTTCAGCTTTCATAAAAATAAATCCTAACGAGCAATAGAATTTCCAAATCTCACCAATTAAATAATTTAAGGTCCCTCTTCGAAGCCAACAATATCTTTCATCCGTAAACTTCCTGAGGTGTTTTATAGTTTTTAAGAATTTGAAAAATACTCTTTTAATATTATGTTGTGCCTATCTTTTTTAAAACCATCTAGTTGCTAACTAAGAAAACTTTCCTACCAAATGCAATCAGCCTCTTTCTTCTACATGTGCTTCTTAACTGAGAGATAGTCATTTATCTTCAGGGAAAATTAGTTGAAATTTATTAATCATTATATAACAAAATTTTAGGATCCCAAACCAGCTGCTTCTGATCTTGCCCAATAAAGTCCTCAGTTATGCAGATTTTCCTAATTCAAGTAAATGATGTAGGACCTGTTTCACCAAACCAAACACCAGAATCCTATTAAACATATAATAAGATTAAACATGTAATATCTAGTATTTTTGTAAAAAAAAGCATTTAGTCAAACTTATATTTTCTTATTCACCACTTAACAAATATGTACAGAATGGGCAACAAAAAATGTAATGCAATTACATCAGGTAGATAACCTGCATATGCTTCTGTTTAAAATTTCAGCTAATATGCTATGCCTCAAGCAAAGACGTTATACCCATCAATAATTAATCAGGCAGTTTTTATCTAATATAAAAATGAAGCAAACCTATTTGGCTGTAATTAACAGATAACAGACCAAATCTGTATAATTTTAATCATAAAATTCCCATTCAGATTCACCACCTGAGTAAAAATAATACCCTATACACATTGCAACTTAGTGAAACTATAAACATACCAACCACTTCTATTCTAACAATATAAATGTATACTTTTCTTTAGATATAATATTGCAGAGTGTATTAAACTCACCAAATCAGGAGAAAGACCAAGTCCCCTTAAAGCACGGACACTGTTTTGAGTAGGCTTTGTTTTCTGTTCACCAGTAGCATTAGGCTGAAAAATATAATTAGTCATTCATTTTTGTTGGAAAACACTACTATGGTGTAATAGAGCAGTGCAATATATGCACAATACCTACATAAGAATAGGAATAATTAAGATTTAATAGAATTACAGTGAAACCTTGACTTAATAATCCCTCCATTAAGTAGAATTGAGATGCAACAGACTCAATTTCTATCCCCTGAAAGGACAGACAAGTCAATTCCATCTGAAGTAGTTTGGATAATGTAGTGTAGTTAAAATTACATTATTTCTATCTTAATTTTATGTTAACTTTGGCAACATTATACAAATCACATAACTTTATGTGAATGACCTAGCTTGCCACATTAATATACTTTCCTATTTAATAGGCATTTGGCATCCTCGTTGAGCTATCAAAAAGTTTTCATTATTTTGTTTTTACATTCAGTAACTGGGGTTCTCCAGCTGAGCATATCTGCATTAACCATGGTTCGTATTTGCAACACATTTCACAACGTAGTTAGTGAACTTAAATCTACATTTCCCATTTACTTTCCCATTAGTTTCCCCTTCCCTATTCTGGTGATAATTCATTCTTCTTTAATGTTTTTGTGTTGATCTGAGATCTGACAAAAAATCAAAAATATATTGTGTATGTAAAATAACTTTTGGATAATGCTATGTGAGGTATGGTAGTCAGCATTCTACTCTACCAAACACAGCCAATATATACAGACATGGTATTTATTACCAAGTTCAGTTTTAAATCTGCACTGAAGAAACTAACCGCATGTCTAGGCTAATTTCAGTGCATGTTGTCTCACACAGCATTGTTCGGAAATCATTATAGCAGCAAATAGTAGGTATGAAAAACCATTTTATATTCTTTCTTTCTTTCTTTCTTTCTTTCTTATTATTTCATGGTTTTTCAGTAAAGTATACTCTTGAAGGAAAAAAAATGTCTCAGGAGTTTCTTTTGCTGGCTAGCATATTGGGACACTTGACATTAAGTCAGTTCTCTCAGTAATAACCTACTTGGACTCCACCAGGAAGTCAACCTAGAGATATTGGCTGTGACCAAAGACACAGATGAGAAAAAGAAGCCAGGAGAGATCCCAGTTCAGGAAGACCTGACACTGCTTCAAGCCAGTGCAGGGATGCAAGCTGCTGGCACATGCCTGAAGCAAAAACCTGAGAAGTTTCAGCAGCTGTAAAGGAGCGAGTAAGGGAAGTCCCATACCAGCGGCTGAAGACCTGCTGGGTGACGAATATGGGCATGGCAGTGGAGGATGAAGACTCCCTTCTCCCTACCAGAGTCAAAGTGATCTGAGGGAGTAAATGGAAAGCGAGGCAACTAACTGAATGGAACAACCCCGCTGAGTGGAAGCTCCCAACTGCTGATTATAATTAATCCATGGAGCAGTTGAGAGAGAAGTTCAGAGAGATGGAGATTCATGCAGCAACAATTCCAGGAAAACCCCCGATAGGCCTGGCAACTCCCCTTCCCCCTATACTTCAGCTGGTGGCACTGGCAGCCACAGCTGTGATTGGACCCTCAACACAAGTGGCAGTGGTCTTCCTCATCCCTCCTCCAGCCATGGCTGGGGCCCTGGCATAAGGGCTTGCAGCCAGGGTCCCGGCATGGGCACTGGTAGTGGCAGCTGGCATTCCACCTCTCAGATACATTTGGAGGATTTTTACTTCTGGTTTTTTTTCTCTTTTTTTCAGGAAATCAGTCAGGTAGAAGAAAGAGAATCAATATACTTACCCAGTTCACAATCACACTTTAGTGCTTTTTGGCTTCGGCTGCATGTAACTTGGGCTAGAGTCACAAATGATGCTAGCCTTTCTTCTGTCAGTTTTTGGAGAGCTTTCCCCAGACGTCCGGATCGACCACCGTCTCCCCAAGATCGGTGAGGCTTCTCCCTTGCCACCTCTCCAGGGTGGCTTTGGGCCCATTTAGGGTCCCCAAACAGAAAAAAATCAGCTGTAGGGCGTGGATCTTCGCAATCCCTTAGCTGTCGTGCTAGCTGCACAGAACCGGAAGCCATGACCTCAATGCTTTTATACAAGCCCTACGAGAGCAATTCAAGGACCCTATGGCAGAAGCCCGTATCCGTTCCCTAAAGCAAGGGAAGCGACTGGTGACTGAGTAAATCCAAAATCTCCACCATCTGACCAGCTACCTAGGAGACTGGCCTCAACACATGCTGGTCCACCATTTCAGAGAGGGGTTAAACAAGAATCTGTACCAGAATTGCCTGGCCTGGGCGACTGCAAGCATGGTACCGTGTGGCCATGTAGGTGGAGATCAACCTAATGGAATTCCATGAATACACTGAATACCTGACCCCAGAGGAAGAAGACCATACCAGAACCTTGGTGGCAGCTTTCGCTACAGAAAGAAGTGACACTAAGTTGCTGAATGCCTCAAACCGTGGCCAATGACCGCTCCCCCTCTTCTGAGCCAACCAAAGAAGAAAAAAGCTCCACAGAAGCCAAAAGAGCAAACTCATGCAGGGTAGCAGGTCACAGAGTTCTCCCCTCTTTCCAGCAAGGGGGAGGGAACTCCAGCCCGTCATGACCGGTGACAGCGAAGAAGATGACCTGATGGTAAGTGGCACCATCATCCCCTTGAATGGTAGGATGGAGATTTAGATGTCTTCCTCAGGAGTAAAGGGGACGATTACAGTTTTGTTAGACTGCACTAGATGCCTGGTCAGCCCTCAAGTAGTAGAGAAGGTAGGAATGAGGCTAAGGAAGCTAAGGAAACCTGTAGGGTTTTCCTAGCTAGACAGCTCAATAAAGGGCGGAGTGCCAGCAACCAGCCTATCCAAGCCTATGAAGCTAAAAGCCGGGATCTACATAGAGACTCTTCGATTTATTGTGGCCCCAATGATGAGAGAGGCCATGGTCCTTGGCTGGGCGTAGTGGAAAAAATGGAGCCCACCTGTCAATTGGGACAGAGACAAATGGTGGATGCAAAGAAAAGCATCTAATCGGCAAGAGTTAGGGAGAGTGCTAAGAAGTTGCCACATGTCTGCAGTTAAGAAAGTGAAAGTGGAAACAGCCAATAAACTAAAAAACACTAGTAGCTCAGAACCTGATTCCCAAGGAATATCAGGACCTGACAAGAGGGAATCCAACATGCTTCGACTCCACCTTCCTGGATTGCCAATGCCACCAAGACTGTGATTGGAATTGCACCTGGGGCAAAGTTGCCAAAGCCAAAGCTATATTCTATGACACCCAAGGAGATGGGAGAGCTCCGAACATTCATAGATTAGAATTTAGTCAGGGGCTTCATTCAACTGGCGAAGTCGAGAATGGTGGCCCCTGTGCTGTTCAAAGAGAAGATGGGTCCCTTAGGTTGTGTGTCGCCTATAGAGGGCTAAACTGTGTATGTGTGGAGAATACGTGCCTCCTCCCCTTAATGAAGGACATGTTGGACAACCTTGCAAAGAGGAAAAATTTCACACAGCTAGACTTGAGGAAGGCGTACTACCAAGTGAGAATTAAGGAGGGGAATGAATGGAAGACAGCATTCAATTGCCCTCTGGGTTGCTATCAATTCTGAGTGATGCTATTTGGATTATAAGGAGCCCCTGCAGTGTTCATGCAGTTAATAAACGAGGTCCTACACGAGCATTTGTACAAAGGGGTCCTGCTGTATTAGATGATATATTGATCTGTACCAAAACCAAGGATGAACGTGTCAAGTTGATCAGGGTGGTGTTTGAGAAACTGTGGAAAGCTCAGCTCTTAATGAAACTGTCCAAATGTGATTTCCATAAGACCAGTTTGGACTACCTAGGCTACTGAATCTCGAAGGATGACATACAGATGGATCCTGAGAAAATCCAAGTGATCCTAGAGTGGGAGCCTCCAAAAGTGAGAAGACAACTGCAAAGTTTCCTTGGCTTTGCTAACTTCTATCACATGTTCATCCCCACATTTGCTCAGATAACCCTACTGACCATGAACCTATTGAAGATGAAAGGTGAAGTTAAACCCAGGACCAGCCAACCCTTAAATTGGTCACTAGGGTGCCAAGCTGTGTTCGAAAAATTCAAACATCTCAAATGTTGAACCGGTCCTAAAACACCCTAACCCTGATGAGCCCTTTGTAATATAAGTGGACACCAGTGATGTGGCCGTGGATGTGCTGTTGCTTCAGGAGAACACAAAGGGAGAATTATAGCCATGTGCTTACACATCCTACAAGCTCTCTGAGACTGAGAAACGATGGGCTATCTGGGAGAAGGAAGCTTATGTGGTCCATTGGGCCCTCCTTACTTGAAGACAATTCTTGGAGGGCAGTAAAATCCTTTTTGAAGTGTGGACAGACCACAAAAATTAGAAGCACTGAAGGCTCCTGAAAGCTGTTTTCCAAACAAGTCTGGTGGGCCCAATACTTTAACCGATTCAACTTCACCCTTCGCTACCTACTGGGAGGCCAAAATTTCTTGGCAGACACCCTCTCCCAGATGTCACAATACAACAGTGCTTAAGAAGAAGTTGTTAACTCCATCATCCCCTCCAAGCAATTAGCAGCACCATCCCTCATGAGACAGCAGGAAGCATCATCATCAACATTGACCAAGGACCTGGTGCAGCCACTAAAAGAAGCCTTGGCAGGGGATAACCAGTTCCAGCAACACAAGAGTGAGCTATTATTAAGAGACAGAGTGGCATGGATGGGGAGCAAGCTAAATTTCCTAGAACATATCTTTTAAAGATATTATCCTTAAATAGATTTATTTCAATTAAATGATATTTTTAAATAGATTTGAAAATAAAGTTTGCATGTAAAGAACACACTTCCCAGGACACTAAATTGACCCATTTGTGGATTCACACAATGTACTGAACTAGAAATTAAGCAAACAGGCTTGATATACAAAACATTTACAAAGCACAAAAAAAGCCTAACCCAAGTTTAGCATTTGCAAAATACACACACTCCATTAGGGTTAGACTTTGATCTAACTAAACGTTCCATATAAACACAATAAAAGCTTTTACATGTTTATTCATTGGTTGAAATAAATACAACATGATTGTATAACCATTCAGTCTAAAATGTTTTGTTAGCAATTAATGAACAACAATAACAAGAATATATCTACAATTGCAGCTTTATTCACTTCTTCAAAAATCTCTGAATTTAGTATTTTATCAAATTTAAAATGTGTAAAGCAGTAACATATGATGAGAAATATTTACCTGTGGTACTAAGCTGACATGGATATTGCAAAAGTTCTCTCTTTTGGCTTTAAATTGAAATTGTCGAAAAGCTTCTACAAAGGGCATTCCCTCAATATCTCCAATAGTTCCACCCAACTAAAAGATAACATATGGAGTTAATTAGTTTGAGCAAATAAAAAAGCATAGTTCCATCTGTACTTCAGTTTAAGGATGCTTTTTAAAATGTATATAGATGATGCCAGTAATAATTTGGGCAAATTTGTGAGATTATTATTATAAATGTGTAACTATTTTGTGTTTTTATGGTTATAATCATTGTGATATTGTTCACTGCTCAGAGTCAATTGGCTCCATTCCTTTCTCGGTGAATGGTTTTAACTGGTGATGGTAAGAGAGACTGATTTAGCGATTTCTTTTTTGTAGGTTGTCACAGAGGTCAATCCTCTTCCCACCCCCCTCCCATTTTTAATATCTACATGAAGCCGCTGAGAGAGTCATCCAAGATTTGGTATTTGATATATCAGTATGTTAATGATCAGCTTTACATCACTATCTGGGACCATGCTGGTAATGTTTTCCCAGGACTTGGAAGCTGTGAGCATCTGAATAGGAAACAACAGGCTAAAATTGATTCCTAGCAAGAAGTGATTCTCCATTGGAATTCTAAACTGGAAACAATCAGATAAGAAACAGCATACCTGCAGCTAGATGGTGGATGGAACAAGAGGCTTCTTTAGTTTCTCAGGCAGTAAAAGAGACAGTGGAAGATTTGTCTATGAAAATTCTCAATCATCCAAGTCATGGTTGTTCCAAAAGTGCTTTTTTCAAAGGCAACTGGACTTTCTTGTTTTTTTTTTCTTTGAAAACATTTTGCTTCTCACCCAAGAAGAGTTAGAACTGAAAAGCTTCTTGGATGAGAAACAAAATGTTTCCAAAGGAAAAAATCAAGAAAGTCCAGTTGCCTTTAGAAAAAGCACCTTTGGGACAGTGGAAGATATATACCTTCATACTTGCAAGATTCTCTTCATGTAGCTTTACAATAAAACTAGATTAGCCTATCAGATCATGTTTCCTGTCTGATCTATCTGGTAAGGTTGACACCTATGAAGGAGCAAGTTCATCATGACTTGGGGACTCCTCTGGATTTGCAGTTCCTGCTTAAACACCAGGTGGAAGCTACAGTCATGAGGGCCTATGCCCAGGTTCAGTTAAGGCATAGTTGCTCCTCAGCCTCAGGTGAAAGGATTTTATGCCCATTTTAGTAGTAATACAGTTTCTGGAATGTTCTTCTGCTAGAGGTAACCTTAATTCCTAAATTAATTTCTTTCTGGAACCAGCTGAAAATAGAGCTCTTCTGGAAAGTGTGCTTAGGACTTGATAGCAGGATTTGGGGGTTATTTTCTGTTTTTTAGAGTTTTTGTATTATTACTTTAATGCTGACTGTGGATGTTTGAATTGTATTCTTGTAAACCACCAAGAGTCCTTTGGGATTATAGTGGAGAATAAATATAATAAATAAGCCTTTGCTCATAGCTTCATACAGAAAGTTCATACTCACTTCAATTACACATATCTGTGGTTCTTTCTTATCATCATCCACAGGAACTTTTGCCTGATTCATTACCCATTCTTGAACAGCATCAGTAATATGAGGTACAACTACAAGCAAAATAAAATATTAATGCAACAGAAAATTTGACATTTTGATCCAAGAATTAAAGTTAAAACTGCATTTACAGCTACAGCACAATCTTTTCTTGAGTCTGTTAAAGTTCTTAGAAGATTCTACAGTAATATGATCAAATGAACTATTAAGAATAAAGTGTAGTTGCTATGTGAATTCTTAGAAACTTATTTACTATTGAATGATAGAAATAACTGCAACTTGAGTAGGAATAATTGAATATAACATTTAACAATACCATGCAAACATAAATGCATCAATAGCTACCTGGTAATTAAGGATGGCAATTTGTATCTTCCAAAAAGTACTTTAAAAGGATTGAAATGGAAATACCCATGGGAAAAGAATGACCTCAATTCTGTAAGCGACAATCACTTCTCTAGCATATGACTAGCTGTCAGAACCCATTTCTTGTTTGGGGGGTTGATTCTGTCCCTTTCTGGTTTCCTTCTGTGGGTTCTGTCATTCTCCTAAGGGGGGGGGATGCCTTTTGGGATACCTTATTTCTCCTTTTGCTTAGCTACAATGTATCCCCTTTGCTTTTTCTATCTGCTTGCTCTTTGAACTGTTTTCCCTTGATGTCAACCTGGGGTGAGAAAGGAATGTGCTCCGGCCGTCTGGCTTATCTCTTGCTGCGGAAGAGAAAGATGTGAAGACCCAACATCTTCACAGGCATAGGAACTACTCCATTATCAGCTCCGTTCCCACAGTGGACTTAACATCTGGGGATTGGCTCCTTTGAACTGACCGGATGAACTATTGGGGTGGGGTTTGCTTGAGGCTCTTTTAACCTATTGATCTGAGCGGGAAACCCTCAGATCCTGCCTTCTATGTCTGCTATCAGCTTCTCCTAATAAAAGTTCCTTTTGGAATGAAACTGCTTTCTTGGAATGAGGTTTTGAAGCAGGTCCTTACACTAGCTATGTGTTTGAATATTGTTCAAGTATTGCATTTTATGCAGGACATCTTCAAAAGGAGTTAAGGATATTCTGAGCAGTTAGACTTGTTATTGGGATAGAATGAAGTAAATGTTGTTTTTTCATCTATACTGGCTTTCAATATACAATATATGAATATGGAGCTTAGGAACATTATCAAATGACAAATAATGCAGAATTTTGGAGGCCCTTCTCTGGGTATATCCATGAAATGAAGTCTGGAGAGTGCCTTTTCAGCATAGCATGATTACTTTTTTCTTACTGGGATCAATCTGAGTCCAACTATAGACTTATTACCATTTTTAAAAAAATATTTTTAACATAGGTTAATTGGTTTAAACAGTTATAAATTATACTTAAACATGCCCTTTCATGTTGACTTTTGTATTTTAAATTTTTATTGATGCTGTAAAACAGGAGTTCCCAATCCCCAGGCCATGGACCGGTATCAGTCCGTGGTCTGTTAGGAACTGGCTGCACAGCTGGAGGTGAGTGGTGGACGAGTGAGCAAAACCAAAACCATTCCCTCCCGATCCGTGGAAAACTTATTTTCCACAAAACTGGTTCCTGGTACCAAAAAAGTTGGGGACTTCTGCTCTAAAACATTCAAAGAATATGTTTAATCATCAAAAGTTATAGTACACTGTTAACAAGACACTGATCTATTTCACAATTTGTGCTAAGCCTTGAGTTTTTTTATATAGTTTACTGAGTAAACTAGAATTGACTGGTTTCTACAAATTTACTACAATGGTTTACTGAGAAAGTAAATTGGATGATTACATGCACTGTATCTCAGGAAAGAAGTGAAATAATTTGCATTTTTTTAAACACAAAGATACCTTGAACAGTTTTTCCCAAGTAATCTCCATGCCTTTCTTTATTGATGACATGCTGGTAAATCTTTCCAGTGGTGATGTTGTTGTCCTTGTAAAGGCTAATATCTAAGAATCTTTCATAGTTTCCCAAGTCTAGATCAACTTCTCCACCATCGTTTAGTACAAAAACTTCACCTGAACATATGAAATACTTGGTAAAACATGTTATATTGCATTTTTACTAAGATACAATAGAAATCCTGCTAAATAGTACTTGCTAGTAGGTAGGAATAGAAAATTAAGGTATTTCTAGGGTAATTTTTTGCTTATAAACATGAACTCAGAGTCCAGTAGATCTACTATTTACATATTCATATATACACACACATAGTTCATATCTAGTATGTATATAGTACATATACTGTAATATATGTCATGTAGTGCAATCATAAGCATATTTAGTCAAAGATAAATATTGCTTAATTGAATGAACACACTTTTAATAAGAATGTTTACGACTGAAATCTAAATAGGTTTGGTGACTAAGCAATCTGCAATTTACCATTTTCAAAGCCCCATTTCAAAAGACAGAAATGATTGCATGAGCTGAGATTAAATATAACAGCTGAAGTTTTTTCCTATAAGAATCAAATTATATGTTTGATTGGATTGGATTCATCACTGGCCAAATTATTTTTTCCCAATTAATAAAGAAATCATAGATTTAATTTTACATTATTACCACTAGTTAAATTTTTATACTGCATCTTTTCTAGGCATATAGATATGTTTTATATCTCTACAATAAATTGTAATTTGTTTTTCATACTAAAAAGTTGAAATCAGAGAGACTACACCATATGAAATAGACCTAGCTTGGCGTAGTGGTTAAAGGCACCAAGCTAGAAGCTGGAGACTGTGAGTTCTAGCTCCACTTTAGGCATGAATGCAGTTCGGTGACCTTGGGCTAGTTACCCTCTCTCAGCCCTAAGAAGAAGGAAATGATAAACCATTTCCAAAGATGTTGCCAAGAAAACTCCTACAATACAAAGAATGCCAAAGAACTGAAAAGAAAGTAGAAAAGAGAAATAAAAATGGTAACGAGCCAGCAGAAATCCAAACTTAAAATAAGAAGTGATTTTCTGATCACGAGACCTATTAAATAGTTGAAAAGCCTGTCTTTTAGAGGTTTGGGTACTGCATCACTGGAAATTTTCAAACGAAGTTGGACAGTCATTTGTCTGAGATATTTCAGGATTCCTTCTAAGACTGGAAGTTGAATTATTAGACCTCTGGCAATCTTCATAGTAGTAAATATCAAGTTGCATAGAAAAATCAAATGTTCATTATCACATAAAACAGTCACATAAGATGCATGAGACTGAAGTTTAGAGTTAAAATTTGTATTGCCTTTCTGACTGTCAATGGCTTCTTGTATTTTCTTAGTTACGTATTTGGGAGGAGGAGGAGGAGCTACTCCCATTCTATTATTAATAACAGTAAACTAAAAAAGCTTTGCATCAGGACTCAGTATTACCAAACACTATCAGCACGGTATCTCCTACAACAATCTAATCTACAAAACTATAAATAAAAAATGTATGCCAAATCCTTCGAGATGATCAAAACTTCATGGGATCTTTGGAAAATCAAACAGCTTTTGATTTTTTAGATGTCATTATTTCGTGGGACACATATTGTACAAACTCATGTGAACTCCCTGCTGCACATGACTATGGCAGGTTGATGTTTTCAAATACTGTTCAAAATAAAGGCCTTGGCTTAAGACTTCCGCCGGCAGGATCTCATTAGAGCTCCTGCAGATTCTCCACAGTTTTAGACTTAGAATGGTTTCTAAGCCAGAAGAAACTTCTGGGAAAGGGGGACCCTTTGGAAATCAGCCCTCTTGCTCCGCTGAATAGCTGGACACTCTCGGGCTGCTTCTTGATGAAGAAGTAATTGGGTGAGACCTGGCTGGGGCGGGGCAACCAGGCAAGTTCACTATGGAAGAACCAGCCTTTTATTCGGACATTAAGGGACACTGCCAGTTCTTAGAAACTTATTTCTCAATATATTTATTTTTCTTGTCAAGAGAGACTTCCTCCAGTTGCAGCTTGTTGTTTCCTTTTGGTGGAATCAAGCTCTGTAACTTTAAAAATGGTGTGGAGGGAGGAGTCAGTTTTTCCAAACCAAACTAAAGAAGCTGGAAATCATTGTGGAAACTATTTTTGAAACTTAAGGACATAAATCTTTGGGGGACTCTATATGGCTGATTGATTTTGTGGGATCTCTGTTCTTCTTTTTTTTTTTTTTGCTTTTAAAACAAAGGATTGTTTAAACCAGGCTTTGAGTTTGCTGTGAGGGGAGAGTCGAACAACACTGAGTTTAATGGCTTTTGATTGGTCCAGATTGTGCCTTTTCTTTTCTTTTTCTCTTTCTTCTTAAGATTTTTCCTCAGTCAGTAATGTTGTTTGACCATAAGAGGGGGCCAAAAGACTGTGATATGGTTAACCATTACAGGTAATCCCCCAGATACCAGCGTTTATTTAACGAGTTTTCACAAAAACAAAGTTATTCAGAAAGGGTACTTACATTAGAAAGTCAAAATTGCGACAAAAACGGGCCTCTATAGCATGTGACTTGGATTCAGTCTTGGCTGTTGCAACAGCCATTTTAACTCGATGACTTGCCTGGGTTGGTTTAGGCCTACGAGAAGCCAAAAGGGTTTTTTTGTGTGTATGTGCCTGGTCACATGGCCAAACAAGATCCGGTGATTTTTGCAGCCTGCATCGACCGTTTGTTTTTGTTTTCCTGCAGCTGCATGGAACATTTGCTGCTTGCTGGCTTGAGAACTACATTACTGTAGAGAGCTAGAATTACTTTTGTAAGTATTTAAAAATATTCATTTTTGTTACTCTATAGTACTGTACTGTATTGTTTGTAATCACTTTGGGAACTGCTCTGCTTTTTATTCTGTTTGTAAGTACCGTAAATGCCGGCGTATAAGACGACTCCCGTGAGTGCTGAAATCGGCGCCAAAGACGGGGGTCGTCTTATACGCCGGAAATACTGGTAGTTTCCGGCGTATAAGACGACGTTCTAGGAATGCGGCCCGGCTATAAAGACGGGGGTTGTCTTATACGCCGGGTCGCCTAATACGCCGGCATATACGGTAGAGTACTTTGCAAGATTGTTTGCTTGCATTTGCCTGAAACCTATAGTATGTGGCTGCTGCTGCCTCCTCTCCCTAACACAGACCCACCAGAGATTCTACTGATTCCTTGCTGGAAGGAAAGCCCCCCCACCCCATTTTGGATTTTGCCTGGAGAGGCTTGTCATGATCAGAGACAGTGGGGTTTTTTTAAAAAAAGGTTTTAAATTTAAATTGCCTCCAGAAGTTTGTGGGTTTTCCCTCACTGGAGGCTTTTAAGAGACTGGATAGGCATTTATCAGAAATACAATACAGTACTGTACTCTCTTGTGAGAGCAATGGGTTAGACTAGATGACCTCAAGGTCCCTTCTATCTCAGTTACTGTTGCCTGCCTGGAGACACTTAAGCTAAAGCTAATTACTTAGAGGCAACTACAATCCGAGAGTTCTCCACCCCATCCCCACCCTGAAGAAGCTTGAGCTGCCTAGCAACAAATGGTTTAAAAAAAAAAGCCTGCTGCCTACTTGGGAGGCAATTTACAGTACTCTAGTTCCTGAAACCTGAAACAGCTGATTGGTGGACAGAAACAGCCTGCAGCAGTGGCCGGAAAAGTCTCTCGATTCAGGCAGCCATCGGAGGAAATAATGTCAAATTTTTGTTCATTTAACGACCCATTTGATTCAATTAATGAATTTGATTTTAAAATGTTGTAATATTGAGTCTGATTCATTTGATGATTATGAGCCTAATGGGCAGGCTCGTACCTCGGGGACTACCTGTACTTTTTTTTTTTTACTAATTTTGCAAATCATTGGGCTTATAATAATTTAAAGTTATAATTTATAACTTTAAAGTGTTTAACTTAAAATTTTAAACTTTATTTACACATTACAAATGGCAACCAAGAAGAGAATGGAGAAGATTAAGAGATTATCAGGAGATTTAGAACTTTTAAAACTATTTTTGGATGAATATACAGCCAAAATACGTGAATTCATTCAGAACATGGGAAGAAACAACGAGGTTAAATCTGATGCTTTGGCAAAAGAGCTGCATTGTGAAATACAACACTTGACTGGAGAGATTAAGAAGGTGGAAGTGAGAACTGACCTTTTGGAAAATGAGATGGAGATAGTAAATAATTTGCTGGAAGCTGATTTGGACCAAAATGTAATTTTGGAATATCATATAAAACAGTTCCAATTAAGATTTCAAGCTATTCCTGAACAGCCAGGAGAAGACATTAGATTAAGGATGGTTAAAGCCTTGACTCAGTTGACCAATTGGGAAGAAAAAAATATGAAACTAGAGCTAGATAACATGTATAGAGTAAACTCCAGATTTGCTACTATGAGAAGATTATCAAGGGAAGTGTTAGTTCACTTTGTAAGAAGAACAAGAGATCTTGTTTTGGATTGCCATTTTAAATCTAAATTGAGAATAGAAAATGTGGATTTTATTGTGCTGAAAGAAATCCTGTTGAAAATTTTGAGAAAAAGGAAAACTTATCCTTTTCTTATCTTAAAGAAGAGAAAGATCCCCTTTGATTGGGATAAACTAGAAGGAGTGATATTTACTTATCAGGAGCAAAGATTCAGATTGAACTCTATAGAAAAAGCCAAGGATTTTCTGATTAGACATAAACTAATTTTAGAGTCACCTGAAGAACTGGATGGAAACAGGAAATCTGCGGAAGAACAACGTTAAGACGGTAGTATTGAGATAGTGGTACAGGAATCTGCTACTTTGTGCAAAGAAGGATATTAAGGCTATCACCTGGTATATTAATGGGGCAAATGCCCCCCCAACATAAAAAATTATTTCATTATTTGAAGAAACTTAATGTTGATATAATTTGCCTTCAAAAAATACATATTAAGAAACAGGATAAGAAATATTTAATAATTAAACAACTAGGGGAGGAATTTATATCTGCTGGCTTAAAGAAAACTAATGGAATTGTTCTATATATAAAACCCCAACTTAAACCTAAATTACTTTTAGTAGATGACTATGGTAGATTTGTAGTAGTGGAAATTGAGC